TCTCCCTGTGTCATGTTTTGATGTTTTGACACTGAGCCCATAAGGATTCAGTGCTGCAGGTGAAAATCACTGCGTTGTGTTGTGTGTGCCCACAGCGGACTTTGTGCTGCTGATGTGTGCGTCTCAGCAGTGGAAGGTGTTTGAGTGTGAGCACGTGGAGGAGTGGATGGTTCTAGCAGGAGAGAACACAGATGAACCAGAACCAATGGAAGGTCGATTGTTTAACCCTGCACCTAACTTCATAAATTGCAGGTAAATATCATAAAGTCTATACGTCTATATTTTCACATTTAACCTGCTTTGGGTGATTGGAGTGATGACACAAACAGCTTGACAGCGTGGGACAGATGTGAGGCCATAGATCGTCCTTATTGAACTCTAAGCTTCATTTATTAAAACACTGTTTCAGGGAAGCAAAATAACCACATGAGCCACAGTGTTGTTAGTTAGGAGCAAATTAGAAAAAAACAAAAAGGTAAAGTTGGTATTTATACCCTTCCATATTTTCCCATATTTGCAAAATACTATTATTATTATCCGTTCATCCACCCGTTCTCTTTCGCGTATGCTTATTGGGGGGCAGCTAGCCTATCCCAGCTGTCATATGGTGAGAGTGGAAATTGTGGACTTGACGTATGTGACAGTATGAATAACTTTGACATTTTGTGATGAAAGCTTTAATGTGATGTTTTAAAAGGACACTCAATCCTCACTTTAACTCTCTGACAGTTGGCCTCACACGTTGTCTTCATGATTTTCTAGCACATGGAAGAAGTGTTTGTAAGACTGTGCACTGCATCTGACCTGCCTGTTCTCGGTCGATCTAAAGAAAAAATGAATTTGACTCATAGTTTGTCTTGCTCTCCTTCTCCATCTCACTACAGGAGCAGCTCTGTCATTCAAATATGTATTTTATTATTTGTTTTCTCTTTTTCCTGTTGTAGGAGTTACCTGGACATGGCGAAGGTTTTGGTATTTCGCCACTTCTTCTGGTTTGTGTTGTCAGTGGTCTTCATCACAGGGTCGACTCGGATATCGGTGTTTGGACTGGGCTACCTGCTTGCTTGCTTCTTTTTTCTGTTGTTTGGGACGCAGCTATTGGGCAAAAAATCCAGAACTCGCCTCAACCTGTGGGACTGTCTCATCATCTATAATGTGGCAGTCATCATATCTAAAAACCTCTTATCTGTGAGTATAACATTTA